AGCACCTGGACGCCGAGAGAGATAGAAATCGAATGCTTTTCGGCCGAGCGAATCGCGCTGATTTTCGGGGCAGAATCGTTTGGAAGATTGACGTTTCGAGGGGGGTGAGGAGAGGTTCAGCGTGTTGAGAGATGGTTGACGTTTAAAGGTGGGAGATGATGAGTTTGAGAATGAGAGATAGAATCGAATGGTTTGTTGATGGAGGAATGAAGCTGATTTTTATGGCGAGGGAATTGTTTAGAAGTTTGACGTTTGAAGGTGGAAGATGATGAAGGGAGTTTGAGAATGTTGAGAGATAGAATCGAATGGTTTGTGGATGACGAAATAAATTGTGGGTACTTGAGTTGTTTGGAGACAAGTTTGAGGAACCATGGACAAGGTTTGACATTTGAATTTTTTTAATTTTTGGGAACTTAGCTAGGAACCTTCAAGCTAGATTGTCTAATATGTCAATGTTCTGTTGTTTGGATAATTGGTTAGCTAAAGAAAGTGTCCTTTAATAACGAGAGAATGAAGATTCAGAATGACTTCAACGAAGACTCAGTCTAAGCAGATTTCCATTCAAATAAAGGAATCTGATACGAAGAAAAAATGAATATTCCATTCGGCTTCTTCGGGCAGAAATCGCGGAGATCCTCGATCACGAAATTGCAACCATAAAGATGTCTGGAAGCACCGTTTCGCGGAAGGAGCGGTAACACGGTACGCGATCGCGATCGCGATTGAACGGGGATCCTGTCGATAGAGGCGTCTCGACAACAAAGCCCGGGTTCGCGGGAGATCGAGTCAAAAGTGCCGGGAGCGGGTTAACCTGGCAAGACACAATAGCCGGACGCGCCGCGGTTCACAATGATGGAAAATAATTAAACCGGACGGGGAAAGGGGGACGGCTCGACCTGGGGCCACGAACGATCAGACCGATCCGCGATCTGTTTGTCTTAGAGGATGCGTCTGACCGTGTCAGATGTATTCCTCTTGAGATCGCATTTTCACGTGTGCCATGAAGAACCCTTGCGTGAAATTGCGAAAAGCTATTGTGCAAGAGGAAATCGGTTAATCGGTTATTATTAATTAATCTATTGATAACTTGGTTATCATCTTTTCAACCGGTTCATTTCAACATTTACAAACCACTTGCTCCAACAATTCCTTTTCCTTTGACATAACATAACCACAAAATCCTGTATATAACATTGAATTTTACATAATATACATCAAATATTACAAAATAACTTCTTCCCAACTTATATACATTGTCTCACTACTCAGTTTCATAGAATGTCTATATCCTCATCGTAAAACGAATTAAGTGAGCAACTTTCGACTGCAATTATTTCATTCAATTACAACTTAACACGTCGCTCTAATTATTCATTCAATCCTTAGGAACCACTGAAACAGTACCTTCAAAAACAACAATGATACTAAATTATATATCAAATGCTTAATAGAAAGAAAGAAAACTACGCGCTCCTTTACTCTTCGACTAACTAAATCATTATTCCACGACTCAGTTCCAAATCTGAACATTTCATCTCGAAATGCCGACATAATCCTACTAAGGGTTGAAACCGACGCTACATTCGCGGATCGCGTGTAAAAGAGGAGCCGGTCGAAGGGGGTCTCGGATAGCACGATGAACGAGTGGTAGCCGATTCTCGGATCGATCGATAAGCGCCGATTGATCGACGCGGATCAGCGGGGCCCGGGCGTCGCACGGTAGCCGAGCAGACGATCAGACCCCCGCTTAGACGCGTGCTCGCAGGTCCAGGCCCCCTGCGCTGGCTGTGAAACCCCCCGCGGTAGAATGATACACCAAGATAATTTCGTTGGACTTGGACCGCGCCGGGGTTCCGCCACCTGGGGGGAACGAGGAACGCCGGTCCCGTCCCGCTAAGTCGTTTTGACAGGTGTCCGTCTCGCGCTGGGCCCCGAAGAACGGACGCCCGAACGAGGGGAATCGCGTGACACCTCGCACCTTTGACCCTTGGACTCTGGGAGCAGTTTGATTCGTCGAATCTCGTTGCAGGCTTTCGGTATCGTTGCTTTAGTATTGTTTGGGATGAATGTCGGCGTTTCGTTGAGAAAACTCTCGAATTTGGAATGCTAATTGTACATGAATGATTTAATTACTGATCGAGGAGTACATTTCCTTTGTTGTTTAAGCATCTGGTAACGTGGATTCTTCTGATGAAGGTTTATAGTAAGAGACTTCGGCGAAGTTGCACTCGGAAGGCGACTCTCAGTCACTATTTGCTTTGACGCGGTAAAACTATAAAATTGAATATTTAATGTTGAACTTTGTACAATGCCTTGATACGTGGAATATTGGCATAAAATAGCTTTGTTCTTCAATATACTTGTGATTTCCCTTCGAGTTAGTTTCAAGGAATATCGTTTTTATCTCATCATCAAATGTTAAAGTTCTATAGAATATTTGATATTGAAATTGTTACAGCATCATTGAATTATTCCTCGGTACTATCTGTGGAGCTAGCTTCAAACTGAACTGTACTTAAGAAACGAAGCTAACAGACACATTTATCCAAAGAGCCGTACACCAACTGAATGATTCACCTATCACGTTCCTCTGTCCGCAGTGTTGTACCAGAAACGGTTAAAGAAGGAGCGAAGAGCAAGGAAACGTCTGCAAGAGCAGCTGGACCTGGAGATCAAGAGGCGCACGCAGCTCGAGGAGGCGTTGAAGGCGACGGGGGCATCCACGGAGCAAGTCAGAGCGATTACCGGTGAGTACGAATCACCGAAAGCCAGAGGGAAACCGGGAACCGAGGGAAGAGAACGAACGAAAGAGAAAGAGGCGGATAGGAGCATTAAGCTCCCGAAGACGAAGGCGCGACCTCTCGCGCGTGCTCGCTCCGAGGATCCGAGCGCGTAGGAGATCGTCGTTGAAACTGATGCTCTCTTCCAGCGCCGATCTTCGGTAGCCCCGGGGCTACCGGGTGATCTCGGAATAAATTAATTAATTCGCCGAGGCAGAGCAAACAGCCTGACACCCGGCAGAATACGATTCCTTACTTATCCCCCAGCCGCCGGGGAGAATCCTCTCCTCTCCTCCCTCCCCCGCTCTCCCTTGCCAGCCAAGAATCATCGTCGCGACTCCTCCTCCTCCTCTCTCTCTCTTTTTCTCTCTATCATCCTGCTCACCTCCGGCTCTCTCCGGTTAACGATGAACGCCGCCGCGATCCTTTCGGTAGCGAGCTACAACGTCGAAAGAGCTACCGCCGGCACCCCTCTTCCTGTCACAAGCAAAACTCGACTCGACTCGGCTCGACTCGACTCGGCGCGGAGCGGCTCGAAACCCTTTAAGTGAAATCTCTTATTCCGATATAGGTGAGTCGGTTCGCGTCTACGACGTCGGCGGCGAACGCTGCACGAGCAGTCGCGCCGCTGATTAACCCTGTCAGAACCAGAGAACGGGCGATACTAATTTCAAATGAAACGGAGCACGCGAGTAAGGACTACTCTTGCAGGAGGGGTCGTTACCTGCTGTCGCCGCGGCGGGACCCCGGTTAGGGCGCTCGCTCTCTACTCTTTCTACCCTTGTCTCCCGACGCGTCTCGCTGCGAGTCGATTTGCGTTTGTCGGGTGAACGGCGGATGGATGTGGCGGGGTTTCGATGGAAATATTGTGTATTGTTTGGAGGGGGCTTGGATTGACGCGGCGAACGAAGAGTGGGCTTCTCGCGGGATTAAGGTGGCGATGTTTGGAATATTTGCGAATTGGTGCACTCGAGAATTGGAGAGTTTGGAGGTTGGGATATTCGACAATTGGTACGCTCCCAAATTGGGATATTTGAAAATTGGTATACTTGTAGAATTGGAGGATTCGAATATTTGGATATCTGAAAATTGCTAGATTTGGGAATTGAGAACTGGAACGTTTGGAATATTTGGGAATTGGTAGAATTGAGAATTGAAGCGTTCGGAGATTGGGATATTCGAAAATTGGTACGCTTGAAAATTGGGATATTTGAAAATTGGAATATTTGTAGATTGGTAGATCTGAGAATTGGAGGATTCGAATATTTGAATATCTGAAAATTGGTAGATTTGGGAATTGAGAACTGGAATGTTTGGAATATTTGTAAATTGGTACGTTTGAGGATTGGAGCGTTCCGAAGTTGGGATATTCGAAAATTGGGATATTTGAAAATTGGAATATTTGTAGATTGGCATATCTGAGAGTTGGAGGATTCGAATATTTGAATATCTGAAAATTGGTAGATTTGGGAATTGAGAACTGGAACGTTTGGAATATTTGTAAATTGGTACGTTTGAAAATTGGAGCATTCGGAGATTGGGATATTCGAAAATTGGGACATTTGAAAATTGGAAAATTTGTAGATCGGCACATCTGAGAATTAGAGGATTCGAATATCTGATTATCTGAAAATTACTAGATTTGACAATTAGAACATCGAAAGTCCAAACATCGAAGACCGTTAGCTTCATGTAAATCTTCTTACGCAATATCCTCTAATAAAAAAAACTAACTACACAAATCAGCTGCAAGTCAGCAAAACAGATCGCTAATTCAACTGTCTTCCTTCTGTTCCAGAAAACGTGACGGTGGAGGCGCGCACGAGTTCCGAGCCGCCGGAAGCCAGCCCGGTGCACTCGCAGTCGCAACAGCAACCGTCGCAGCAACAGTCCTCGCAGCAACCCCTCCAGCAGCAGCAGCAGGCCCAACAGTACAGGGAGGCGCAGGTGCCGCGCCCTTCGCAGCAACCCTCCACCCCCGAGAAACCGGCATGGGGATACGGTCTGGACCTGATCGGCAGCCAAGCGTCCGCGTTCTGGCAGAACTACCAAGGTCAGTTTGCTACGTCCTCGATCGGTTTGCTCGGATTGAACTATCTGGGGAACTACTGTAGGGAATTCGACGACTCGAGTTAGACGATCCCCAAAAGTCGCATCCAATAACCTGTGAATAAATATCAGAAAGACGAAGAAGACTAGGGTAATCTTAGTAATTAATCGACGCTCGTGTCTCCTGTGTTACTCGTCTCTAATTCCGCCTATTCATTAAGATGTATATTCACCGTGGCAAATATTTCGTACCGTGTTGCGTAGAACCATAAGAATAATCGTAATCTGTTGCGCATCCGACACACACATATATAAGAGGAACTTATTCATACTGATAAATCTACCGTGTAAGCGAGGAGCTCCATTGTCACTGAATCTGACCAATAAAGACGACGCTATTATTGTCACTGTACCTTCTGTTCTTTTCTGACTTCGACAAAAAACTGATCAGATCCCACTCAAAACTCTGCTTACGCTCACAATCTCTTGAAACCCGTCATTCCTAACCAAATCACTTAACACGCTCGTCGAACTCCCAAGAATTATTCTCTGAGACGGCGTCTATCCGTCCAGCGATCGCGTGCGGTCGCTCAGAGACCACCGGGGGTAGAGGAAACCGTTAACCGCGGCGTAGCCCCGCGAGGAAGAAAACTCTCTCGGAACCGTGAAACGCGCCGCGGGCCGCGCAACAATGGCCACGCGTTGGCGAAATTTAAGAAAACGCCGCGGGCTCGCGCGGCTGCCTTCCCCCAGCCGGCGACGTAACGACGGAGCACAATCGTTCTCCGAGCCCGCCCTCTCCCGCGGCGAGCCGCTAATTCGGATAATCGCGTTCCCGTATTAGGATCCACTCAATTTTTCTGATCTTCCGGCCGAGCGGCTTCGATCCTCGATTACCCGGACAAAAAGGCGAGCGAGGAAGTCAGGGTCGGCTGTACGGGATTCAAATGCGGGGGAAAAAGAGAGGAAATAACGGGAAAAACCGGGGTCGGACGAGGAGAGGAGCCGAGCGCGCGGCTGTATCGCGCAAAGTAAATTATTCGAAAGATCTCGTGAGAGCAGGAGATGCCACGGCAAACAGAGAGAGAGAGAGAGAGTGAGAGAGAG